TTGCGTAATCTCTCTTGCATTTCGGAGTGTTTTGCCAATTCGTATAAGCAAAAGACATTGTTGCCGAGGTTGACTCAAATCCAGCTGTAAAAAATAAAGCCGCCTGAGCAACCAAGACATCGCCTTCAAATTTGAAACCGTCCTGGCTTGACTGTGTCTTGCTTTGATTTTTTAATTCTATCAGGATATCGATTAAATCGTGACGTTTTATTCCCGATTTCTCTCGCTCCTCCAATATAGGATTCATTGTAGACCGCAAAAATTCCGTTTGCTCCGTTGAAACAACTTTCAGACCCAAATACGGCATTAAATATGGCAAGAAAAAGACGACCCTAAAAGTTAAGGCACGTTTGGTACTAAAATGAAATATTTCACGACCGTTGCGACGAAATTCTCCATTTGGATATTTAAAAGAATTCGCTTGAATACCGAAAGCCACAGTTGCAATAACATCCGTGGTATATAATGCGCAAAGTTCCTTAAGCTCCAGTTCAAAACTATTGTTGTTATTTAAAGGAATTTTCAAGAGATATTCATTAAGATTAAGTCCCACTTCTTCAACCAGAGGGAACATTTGCTTCATTTTCCAGCTCGTAAAGAAAGGAGTCAGTTTAGAACGCACTTCCTTCCAAAAAGGATTTTTGAGAAAGAATAAATTCCGAGAGGCGAGAGGGTCGCCGTAATAATCCGTGTTTAAAAAACGATTAGAAAATTTTGGAAAATCCTTACTTAGAATTCGTTTTATTAGCTCAGGATCGCGCAGTAGCAAAGCAGGACGGTCAAAAATATATATGCCAACGAAAGGTTTGTCACCAGCTGCGGGATAGTTGTAAATCGTTTGCATCATATGAGCAGAAGCGCATTGCATGCGCAACAAAGGTCCTAGATTACCTACTATAGGAGTGGGTTTGACGTAGACGACACCGTGGCGCAACCAATACCGATAACGAAACGTTAGATGAACATATAAAAGCGCTACTAGTAGTAACAGCAAAGCTAAAGTTATTTCGAACCACATTCTTTCGAAACGAAAAATTTGTTACTAATACTTTATGCAAACTTTTAATGTTATATAAAGCTCTAGCAAATTTAAAATTTGACCCCAATAAATATTTTCAATTATTATATCTACTATTTGAAATATTTTTAAATAACAAACGCATTGTTCACAGATATTTTTACATCATGTTAAGTATTCAGCTCTCCATTACGCTGGCGCCATGGATTCTACTACTAGTTTCAACACTGATTTTTATTTTTGGCAAAATAGAAATTGGCCTTTCATCCATCCTCTACTGTCGTTCTTACTTACCCTTCTTAAATATATCATTTGAAGAATTGTTCTTGTCGCTACATAGACATCGTGCCCCTAGTCCATTAGCGTCTAGTAGGATAAAAGACTTAGGATTAATATTATTTCTTTCACTCTTTTATAACAATTAAAATGAGACATTAAAGACTTTAATGGTAAGAGTACGCGAAATTCGGCCTCAGCCAAACATAACTTTCTTACTTGTTGTTATCTATCTAGAGTTTTGGTTTGATTTAAAATTATCGTATCAAATTTCCGCGTCGAGTCATTATTTTGTAAAAGGTTTTAGTATAAAATGTCACGGCATTTACAATTAACTTAGAATTAATACACTTGCCTTGTCGCTTTCTACTCTCCAAGCCCAAAAGGCGATGTCCACCATACCTATCTCAGGACTAACGCATTTTTAGACAGATAATATATCTTCATTTGAGGGATGCATAAAATAGTTTTAAACATTCAGTCTTGTTTATGTTATGATTAATAAAAAAAATTTAATCGCTTGTGACTTTTTGTCAGCATAACGAGTTTTTCGTAAAGTAAATGTGGAAAATTGCAATATTCAATCTTCCATAATTAGTGAGTAATGAGCAAAATCCACAAAATTGCGTTTAGAAAAATGTAGTTGCGTTACGTATCACTGCGGGCTTTTGTTGTACCACATTTTGTCCCAGTTGCAATACAAAACTCAGGCGCAAAAACTTCCCATGTTTCCAATTACGGAAAAGAAACATGGCAGACGTATAACTCGGAAATGGCAATAAAATATTAATTGAAATAAGACGAAGGAACATAAGAAAAAAACGAAAGAAAATACCATAACCTAAACTGATGTCTAACTTTATTAAAACACAAAAAAAGAATTTCTCAACCTTTCCAACTTGGCACGACGAATCATCTGTCATCGATCCGCTAATTTGAAAAACAGGCGTTTGAAGCGAAGAAATAAATTCGACGAGTTGTCTGTTGTTCAGTTGCTGATCTACAGAAGAAGATGAAGAAGAAGAAACAGCTGTTTTATATTAACAAACTGAGTTTCAGCACTCGCTGAACATATGTCCTTATAATGTAAAGTCACAAAGATGACTGTTTGTGAACGTTTCTTTTTTTGGAGGGAAAATTTGCGAGCAAGTATTTAAGTGATGGGCTTTGCAGTGTGTTTCTCCGATGTTCATCTACTTGAAGTTGTAAACTTAATTATTATAAAACACAGCAAGTGAGAAAGGAATAATAATGGCGCAATCTTCAATAACATCATATTTTTCAACTCGTAAAAGAGCCGTAGCTGAGGATATTATTAACACAAAGACACGGGTATGTACTCATTTTACTATATGCATATTGGAAAATACCTTAATTGCATAAAACTGAAAAGTTTTGAAGATGTCGGCTTGCAGCATTCGCAACTGAGACGAAAAAATTAATTTTAGAAATTTTTCTTCCTTGAGGAAGAAGCAGAGGATAAAAGTATTATTAAAATTTCTTTGCATGATATTTAATAATTTTGTGGTTTGTTTTTGTCTTTGTCGCAGAATGTTGACAGTGAGCTGCAGAAATATTATGATGTGCCAAACCTTAAGCAGCAAACGGGAATGCGCACCCGTTCTGGACGTGTGATTAAACGCACTGGCTTTCAAGATACCATTGAAATAACGGAGTGTCATGTTTCTCCTCGCAAAATAAGCAAAGTTGAAGGAGTAAGCAAAGATCAGAAAAAGGTTCCGATATTCTCAAAAAAAGGTTGTTTGTCGCCAAGAACGACCGTGAGAACTGTTGCCAAGAGTAAACAGAAATTGAATGAAATAGCACTCTGCCCTGCCAACACCATATCGGCAACAGATTCAGCAACGAAAAATGATGCCTTTCCTAATGAAAAGTCTCTTAGGACACCTACCAAGCAGGTTATAAAAATTTGTGGGCCACCAAAACCAGTGGAATCGAAGTTGCTGGTTAAGAAGGAACTTAATTACGATGAGATTAACAAAAAAATATCGAAAAGCGTTAAATTGCAAGAGCTTAAGGCTTCGCTCAAAAGAATACAAGACATTGAAAAAACACGCAAGATTCAAGAAGAAAGGGGACGAGCAGTGCCTTCAAAAAAAATCTCAGTCGCGCAGTTAAAGGAATTTGACATCAGTCAATTGGAAGTGTTTAGTAGGTAAGGTGAATTCTTTTAACATGGTAAAGAATTGAATATTTTAACTTGCTACTATGCACAGATACCTCTACTGTTCGCTTGAAAAAAACTTCTCTCGAAGATACTTGCGCTTTCAAACCTTTTTTTATATTGCATTACCAATGAAATATTTTCCTTTAGAAAACCAAGTGTTAGGCAACAAGTATGCCATTTTTTAATTCCATTGCATTCTATAAGAAATATTAGCTATGAAGCGCATTTTCGATGAAAAGTAGTCTGAATTGTGTCAGATATGTGCCACGCTTATGACGAATATCTGAGAAGATATCTACAATTTTCGAGTCAAGAAAGTTCACAATACTTAACAATAATTTATTTCAGCCCCTCCAAAATGTTGAAGACACCTACTAATACGCCGCCATCGACACCCGGTAAAAATGAGCTTATGTCAACACGCCATACCGACGTTTCAAAAAGTCTTCTATTTAGTCCTTCTAAGGACGATTCACCTTCCAAGATGGTTGTAGTGCCGGCATATCAGCGTTTTCTGAATTTGACTAAAGTTGAGAAATATGACCAACTATACTTACCATTTAAATATCGTCATTTATTGGAGATTTTCAAAGGTTTGGACACAGTTTGCGCTATGTTTCATAATCGAAAGGAATGCATTACATTCAAGAAACTAAAACCAACGGTACAGCGAATGTTACGTAAAAATTTCAATGAAAAACATCTGGCTCAAATCAAAACTATTTCACCGGACGCTTACACATTCACCCAAACGAAAATGCGTAATTATGGATCTACATCTAAGGCTGATTACTTTCAGTTGGTCATAACACCGAAACTTAGAAATGTGGCTGAACCGCAAACATTGTGTAAAGTTGACGAAAATGATATATTGGTCGCGGCGGAAAATAGTGCCATGAATCCACAAATAATAACCCAACGCTTGCAACATTTTCACTTTGGACTATTACAACGAGTAAAAGACGAACATGATAAATTTTTGAAATCATTAAATCCACCGCTTTCCATACCCAAAGGAAAAGTTACACGTTGGCATCCAGATTTTGATTTAGAAAATTGTCCAGATATTGAATTAGCACATTTGCCGCAACCACCAAACGTGCAAAAGTATTCTTCGGCTAAAGATATTTTGTTGACAAGTCGTAATTTATTTCATAGCAACATTCGTGAAGGAAAGGTAGTGGAATTCGATGAGAATAAACTGAATCAAACCGAAGAAACAATAAATCTTACCAAACAGCAAGGTTTCAATGATAACAGCAACGCTGAGACAGGAATTGAGACAAAAGAAGAAAATAAAACAGCGGATCCTGTAAAAACTACTGATTTACTGAAAGGCATTCCCAAAGCGTTGTTGGATAAAATTCGGGCCAAGGAGGCAGCAAATGCAATAGAGGCGATGACTCGACGACCTTCGCAAACTCAGGAAGCTGCGCAGTATTCACGTCTACCCGAGCTGGCACGTTATTTGCGTAATGTTTTTGTCACTGAACGTAAAGGAGTTTTAACTCAGGAATTTATTATTAAGAAAGTTCAAAATAGTTTTCGAGCTTGTCTCAGTTCACAAGAGATACAGCATCATTTACAATTGATAGCCAAGGAAATGCCAACATGGTTAGCGTTTCATGACGTTCGTAAAACTATGTATTTGAAGATCAACAAGGAAATGGAATTGGCTGAAGTGATCGAACGTCTAGAGTCCGTGGCAAACGGCAAATGTAAAATTTAGTATAACATTGAAGAAGTACTGAATGATAACTTAATTTGACTTAAATGTTTTATGTTTTATTTTCATTTGTCTTCATTCTACCATAATGAGCATTAAATTTGCGCAAGCATTCTACTTGTTTCTTACTTTCTTACTTTGCTTGTCATCAATGATGAACAGAAATATATAAGGCGATATTCCAAATGCTATGTAGATAAAGATTATCAAGAGGGAAAACAGGCATATTTAGGTTTGGTGAAATTTCGATTTATTGCCAGAATAACACACAAACCGATAAAATATATCCCTTCGTTAACTTATATGAATTTTGGCGGGACCAAAGCTTAGTAAAGGAAAAGGAAAAGTTACGACAAGGTTGTATTCGTGGGCTTAACTCTCAGTGTAGCCGTAGTGAAGTTGGTAAAGAAATACCAATGGGCGATTGAACACACAGCCACTAGGATTCGCCTACTCTTCCCCTATCCATCGCCGTGTTACATTAATGGCCGACGACATCCTCTGAGTAATCGTTGATAAAAATGAAAGAACAGGATCGAGGAATCTCATGAGGAATAAATTTGAATACTTTTGATCAATTTTTGAATATCAATTTCGTAAGCTTCTTAACGATATCCTATAGAAGAAAGTACTGTAGAAGTCCCAGATTTCATTTCATTTTATATGCGTGCTAAGTACCACGTCTCTGTGGTTGTTTTCATTCGTCGTTATAATTCTCAGATATTTTTTCTTTTAAAATTAATTATATATATGAGCTTTTGCTCTTGTAGGAGCGTGTAGTTTGAAAGGAGAGCAAGTTAGCACTCCCCTAGACAAGGATGGAATCACATAAATGACTGGAAAAGGCACTAGACGAGTTCCAGTCGACAATTTTTTACAAACAAGCTTCTATAAATGATTATTAAAAATGCTTGTTGACGGACAGAGGAAGATTGGTTAGTTAATTGGAAATCGGTGAAAACAATTTCAAACTACACCAGAAAAAAAAAAACAGGCGCTTCGGTCAGCAAAATAATATTGCACCTTAATAAATATTTCTGGTTTTTACATTCCTGACAACTATTAAACTTACGTGCCATTCGAACGTTTAACAAAGCAAGGACGTTCTAGAGAAATATTTCGACATTAGCGCAATTTTTTAATTAACAACTTAACGAACTAAAATAAGTCCCTAATAAAACACATTTGCAATTAGAAAAATACCAAATGCTGATGCACGCAATACTGTAGACGATAAGGGAACCAATATGAATTTTACAAAATGATATGCTTATTCTTCGTTGCTGCTATTAGTAGTCGTTGAGGAGTTAGTTTCATCATCATCCAGAAGTGGTGTATCTTTCTGTCCAGATTGTTCCTCCCCTTCATCATTAAAGATTTGCGTTAGCATTTCCACCAAATTTTTGGATTCTTCGAATAATTTCTGCGAAGTTACTATTTCATCTCGTAAACATTCAATGCGTTCTTGTAACTGTTGGTTTTCTTCTAAAGTAATATCTAATGCTTCCTGCCTTTTGATTGCCAATCTTTCCCAATAGTAATCGCTTAATTTATCCTCAGTGCTGGTGAGATCTTTTTCAGTGATTCTCTTTTTCGTCACTTCGTGATCATCTGCATTACATTGAGAACTGGTTCGAGTTTCAAGGCTTTTGCTGTCTGTTTCTTTACGTTTGAGTGCCAATGTATCACTATCGCTTTGGGAATCTATTGTCGACTTTAAACGATTTAATTTATCCAGAACGGGCCTGCCGGTAAGATGTTCGTTGTCGGTAGCCAAAACTTGTACGATCTGCAAAGTTCTACGTTGATTTTTGAGGTGTTCTTCGGTCTCTTCGGTCACTGATTTTTTTCGAGTAAGGACACTACTTGTTCGACAGTTGCTAGACATCTTAGAACGGAAACCAATAATATGGATATCACTTTTTCACGAATATTCTATAGCCTTTGGATTCTTTGAATTCTTTGATTTCTTTGATGTATTTTTATTGTGTGGTTTGCTGTTTCGTTTAATGTGAAGTTGGCTGTTAACTGCATATATCGTATATAAACAAAACATAATATACCGTACATACGATAAAGTAACTTTTAGCTATTGTAGGTAGCATTACCCTCAATAAAACTATCACTTTTTCACTGATTTTCCACACAAAACTTATTAACACTGCATTAAATGATTGCGTTCGTTTTTCTTTTTTGGTAATGTTTTGTAGATAAAGCATAAGAAAGAATGCTGGGAACAAACAAATCACACAAATGGATGTTAACTAATCTCGGTTTTGGTCTTTCAAATACAAAATTACATGAATTCGTAGGTAATAACACTCATAAACACAATTTCTTATGCAACAAGTAAAAGCACCAAAATCGTTCAAGGCTGATTCTTAGATACGCCACTTCGCTTAATGCATTCATACACCTGTTTGCACTATAACACGCCAAAAATTACATAGTGCTAACTTTTATGCTACGTTGCTACTAAGGAGCCATTTCCATTATAAAATATTTAAAACATGCTTTTTGGCATATAAAATTCAATATATCACACCAGTCCGTATGTGCGGTCATGTATAAAAAATAGATCAGGGTGGTTCAAATCCCGGTAACGTTCATTTTGATGTCACATTATTATTGTGAAAAATTTCCATGAAAAAATGTTCTACAGGAAGAATTAATCGAAATTCTGAAAATTACAATATTTTTCAATTTTATGGGGAATAATGCAAAATGTGGTCCAATCAAAACTAATTACGATCTGGAGGTTGAACACAAAAGAAGGACAGACACGCTTAGATTAATTCAGAAAGTCATTCTGAATAAAAGTTCTCATTCTGATTGGAGTCTGATGGTATTTAAAAAATTAATTCAAAAAATTAATAAATGGTTACAGTAAAATGTTTTAAAGCAGAACATCTGCAATTATATTAAACATATTTAAAAAGTAGATCGTAATTTATACCCACAGAGAATGTGAAGTGAGTGTCAGCAGACATTTCCGGAACCTACAGCCCCGATATCTATTCTCTTGCCTTAACTTTTCCAATTTTTATGAGGATTTTCAAAAATTGATAAATCATATGGTTGTATACAACAAATAAAACGAAGATGTCTTGTCAACTTTCAATTAAATTCCTAATAAAACGGGGTATCGTGTGGTTAACGTTGACCCAACGGATATCTAAATAATAGTCGATTAGGAGAAATGAATTTGACGCGTGCACAGTACTGAATACCTTGCCTTCCCTTTGTTCTAGATTCGAATATTGTTCCAGGTATGTTTTTTACACGATTTCATTCACTAATGACTCTTCTTGAGACAAATGTATATTTCTACAAACTATGTTTTTTTTAAGAAACTGAAATAGCCGGCTTCATTTAATTTAGTGAAGTAATTTTATCTCTTTATTTATTTGTTTACTTACAGGTGACACTCAACCAAAATAAATTAGCAGTCGAATTCTATTGACTCTTAGAACTAAGTCATATTAAAAACTATTATATTATTATTATTATTATAAATTTAGACTAACGAAATAAATTCTTATACTAAAAAAAGAAGACATTGAGCACTAGCAACGCAGACTTTCGGCTCTAATATAAATAAATATACATTAGATAATGAGCTTAGTAGTATTAATTAAGTAATATAGAATTGATGTTCCAAATGCAATACTTGTAGCCAAGGAAAAGGCAGTCGCAGAGGATGTGCTTTATAGTGAGTGTTTGTCCACAACTGCAGATTGGGTGGGAAGACTTCTTCAAGATCCATTGGTGAGTTGCAATTGTATGACCAAGTCGAATTCTCGAAAATGTTTGGATCTTGGTTTTCTTGGTTTTGGATATAAAGGGGGAGTTAATTGAAGGTTGATGGAAGAGTAGTGTTGATGATGGTATCGTAAATTTCCTTCTGCAATTTTCTCTTTAATTTTTCTTCCAATATATCTTTGAAGATGCAACTTTTCCATGACATCATCCATAAATATTTTATTTATTTATTTATTTTAATTCTACTTAAACTAGAAAGTCAACTAAACAAATAACAGTCGAGTTCAATCGGCTCATAATGCAAAACTTATATTAATTAATGATAAAATTTAGTATAAGTATAATAAAACAAATAAGAAAAAAAAAAGAAAAAAAAGCATGTACACTATCAGCATAGAGCCACACTTACAACCGGTGCAGGACCATATTGTAAATGAACGCCTAAGCCATCGCAAACATAAATAAGCCTGGCAATCGAAAATAATTAACAATAATTCATTTTCGAATAGTAACGACTTTTTAAGGTTAAAAGCTGGTTTAAGTACAACATAGGTAATTTGCGCTTATGAAGCAATGTTGCTTTAATGGACTTTAAAGAGTCCCATAACGAGAATAAGTGATAGACGTTATTTAGGTTCTTGCAAACAACTCTGAGCGGATTAAACAACTCATAATTATATTTAAACTGACTAAGCTTAACCAAGATAAAGTGCCTAGAGAAGCGGTTAGGGACATTGAAGCTTATTTCACCAAGTAATAAAGGCGAGTCAATAGCACCGTTTATTACTTTGATTACAAAGGAAACGCCAAGAACAAATCTACGTTTCTCAAGAGACGGTAAGGACAGCAGAAGCAACCTATTTTCATACGGAGGAAGAGAAGCAATTGGATCCCAAACCAAATTTCTAAGGGCAAACGCAAGAATTGCTTTTGAACAGATTCAATTGAATCTACGTAGCACCTATATGAAGGAGACCACACAACAGAGGCATACTCAAGTATAGGTCTAACCAAACACATGTACAGCCTTTTCGTAATGTAGGGATCATCAAGCTCTTTGGACCACCTTTTTATAAAACCAAGCGCGGACTTAGCTTTGCTTATCGAGAGCTCAATATGCAAGTTAAAATGTAACCTATGGTTAAATAGAACACCTAAATCTTTGATCGAATCGACATCCTCCAACTTATGCAAATACTGAGTAATGAATGACTTTCTTCTTGAGAAAGAAAGCTTCTTACATTTACTCAGATTTAGTTTCAGAAGATTCAAAGAGCACCATGCAATAAAATTATCCAAATCACCTTGAAGCTGATGTGATTGCGATTCAACAGAGAAGAAAGAAAACAGTTTCACATCATCAGCATACATTAAGATCTGGCTGGAATTAACCACCGATGGGAGATCGTTAATGTATAAACTAAATAAAATGGGACCTAAGTGACTTCCTTGAGGTACACCACCACCAGGTACACTGTAAATTTTATATTTAACATTATTTGTATCGCTACGGCTT